AGAGGAGGTTTGTGCCTCGGCGGTACGGGCACGCCTGATTCACCGCTGCACAGCGCCCAGCCCTTCGGGCGCCCCTCCTGAGGGAAGGGGTTTGTGTCAATAGAAACGGGCCGTGTGAATGCAGTACTCGCCTCTCCGCTTGCGAACCTGAGAATGAAAATGTTAACTTTATCATTTTCAATTTTAAAGTACAAATATTTGAAATGTTTGCACCCAATTTCTTGTCTTTACTGATTTCTAAGAAGATAATGTGTCACCGTGTTGTCTAAAAGAAAAAAAAAAAACGGAAAGAAAAAAACCCCACCAACTTGGAATTCCATTATTTGGTTGGTTTGTTTTAATGCTTTTGATTTTCCATTTCTGTGTTCTTTCCTTAGCCCATCAAGGCTCCTGAGTCTGTATCCACTATAATTACAGCAGAATCAATCTTTTATAAGGTACGGTTTATGCAAGTTTGTTTGCAAAAAAGATCTTGCTGTTTCTATTTCCAGTCTCAAAAATTTCCAAAGACAGTGAAAGCACCAGGGATGTATTCACAGGAACAGTTCTTCCTTGCCTAGCAGTTATGTAGGATTTTGCTCTGCCTTATGTCATTGTCATTCAGTCTTGCAAAAGGTAGTTTACCACAGTAGTTTACATAGTTGCCATTGTCCCATTTTTTTCCTTCCAAGAAAAGGATGCATCTGGTTTCCTTAGTAGTTACTGCAATTGGGGTTTTTAAACTTTTAACTTCCACCGTGCAGAGGTCAAGCAAAAGTGACTACAGCTGATTATTTAAATGTGTGATGTTTCCAACCTTAGGCACAGAACATATTGCCTGCAGAGGGGATGGGTTGTGCTGACTTCTAAACTGGCTCCCATTTCAGAGCTGGGTACAAGCAGTCTCAGACACCTTGAGAACAAGATCTGTTGACTCTTGCAATGAAAGCAGAAGCACCAGCCTTCTCACAGTCGTGCTTGAGACCATTTTTACCAGCGTGGCAAGGTGTTAGTGTTTTGAAGTTCTGAGATTTGCTTTTGTTTCCCAGTAGTACAAACAAACCATTTGAAACGTCTTTTCTCCCAAAGAAAAAGTCAGGATAGCCCCTGGGAGACTGCACAGCCAGAGGAGATGTGGTAGACTGAGTATGATCCCTGGAGACCTGATGCTTCGTGTCTGGCATCCCAGATGAATCTCCGTTTGCTATTGACTAGTTCAGAAGAGAATTGCTGTCTTTTTTTGCATGTTTTTGTTTTTGGGTTTTTTTGGTTTGTTTGTGGTTTTTTTTTTCAGAAATCCCTACGAATTATTTCAAAAGTTTTATTTAACCTGATCTCTTTATGCAAAATGTTTCTATTTTGGTACTTTGCTCTGCTGTTGAGAAGGAGATTGTTTGGGGGTTTTGAGGTCTTTTAAATCTGTTTTAAAAACAAAACCCTCCTGGATGATGTTTGGCAAACTCTGATAGTGACGGTGCAGGCACTGCACTGCGCTGTGTGACGTTGTTACAACAGCAAGGGAATTGCCTTTGCGGAGCCTTACATGTTACAGCGCACCGTGGAGGGTGGCGGGAGGTGGATCTGTGTTTTGGGACTCCTTTGCATTCAAATGAGTGAACTTCTTCATACCCAGAAAACTGCTGTCCCTGCATGCACAGGGAAATCCCTACAGTTACTTCTTCTAGAAGATGGTGTCGTGCTCTCCTGCTTCTGACAGCGTGAGACCGTCACCACTCGGCGGACAGGAGGCGCAGCAGTCCTGGGAGAGGGGGATGTAGAGCAGCTGAGAGAGCTGTGTCTTATGACAGATGAGGCCAAGGTTCCTTCTGAGACATCTGGCAGACAGAGGCCATGTGGAATTGCCTGTCTAATTGCAAAAGCAATTCTGGGACTGAACTCAGAGCCCTAGACATTGGGTGACTGTGCACAAGCAGTGCTGATGACCGCTTAGGTGAGACAGCACTCTGTCGTATGCCACCATTCTTTTGCATGTGGCTGTCTTTCAAGACTGGGGTAATTTGAAATAATTTAAGATACTGATACTTAAGATACGAATCATAATCACAGAGTGAAGTTTCTAAAATCAGATTGTTTGATTTAATTATCATTTGTATGTCTTCTAGGGTGTATACTATCAAATTGGAGATGTTGTTTCAGTGATTGATGAGCAGGATGGAAAAACATACTATGCTCAGATCCGTGGATTTATTCAGGACCAATACTGTGAAAAGAGTGCTGCGCTAACCTGGCTCATTCCTACACAAGCCAGCCCCAAAGATTGTTTTGACCCAGCATCTTTTATCATAGGTAATCTCTTAAGCCTTCATTTTATACAACTACTTCCATGTGCCTAGATTAATGCAGAGTTGTATTTTTTAAATTAACTTTTTAGCTTGTCAAGATAATTTATGCAACTTCCACATGTTAGACTCTAATCCTGTAAGCATCTCATTTACTTCAGTAACCTTTTTTATTTATCATATGTATATAATATGATTAGCACTACTGCAGTGAGTGTGATTACCTGAGTGTTTGTGCTCACAGGCACAACTACAGTCTTGCAGCTTTAAAGATCAAATTATTACTCCATAGATAGAATCAAAGTTATTACAGTATAAACCTGATATGCCAATGCAAGCTGTTTCTTTTAAAGTGACCTAAATTAGCTGATCTTCCTCTTGGGTACTTAAAATACGTAGCGGGCAAGCGCTGGCATAGAGGGTGTTCTGCCACTGATTATAAAATTGCTAATAATTCAGAAAAGTCCTTTTGTTAGGCTGGCAACAAATAGTATCTATTTAAAATATATTAACTAACACACTTCATTCAAATAACTGAATGCTTTAAATGGAAAAAAAAACAAACTAAAGCAAATTAAAAACAAAGATCAGCCCAGCAAAAATAAAGGTAGAGGTTTCTTGCCTAGTATTTGAAGCTACTTTGCCAGAAAAGTCATTGGTTGAAAAGGCACATTCTCTAAGGGATGTTGGCTGTTGTTGCATATTTTTAGGTCCTGCATACTCCAATTTTTGCCTTTAAATTTTGTCTTTGAAGATTTCTTTTTTTTTTTTTTCCCCTAGGACCAGAAGAAGATCTCCCAAGGAAAATGGAATATTTAGAATTTGTTTGTCATGCACCTTCAGAATATTTCAAATCTCGATCATCTCCCTTCCCTACTGTTCCTACAAGACCAGAGAAGGGCTATATATGGACTCATGTGGGACCTACTCCTGCAATCTCCATTAAAGAAACTGTCAGCAATAATTTATAATTTTTTAAAGGAGTGCTTTGGACGAGTTACTTTTGGGTGTATTCTCAGGTCTGTGAACCCCATACAAGAAGTTTAAAAAAAAATTATAAAATGTTCATTTTACTTTATGGATTATGGTACTTACTTTAAATTATATCAGATCTTTAAAGCAGAAGTTTTCTTTTCATCTGATGAGTTACTTCTGCGCTCAGTTCTTCAGACATTATTGCTCATTTTGGGACAAAACCACACGTTTCGTGTCATCTTTGACTTTGGTGAGCAAATAATTAACTTCTGAAAGTTGCCTTTATTGTTCTTATTTTCTAACTTATTTTCCAGTTTTTTTTTACTTCTTAAATTATTTAAGACTAGTTTCAAATAAACACTGAACTTGGTCGGTGATGCAGTTAACAGTTTTCTGTTACATTGGAGAGGAGTGATCTGCTTAGGTTTCTCTTCTTCAGACTAAAACCTATCATCTGCAAGGCGGTACTCCATTTGCAGTCACCTTTTAAGGGAATTTTGTTCAGCTGAATAAAATGTGGGCCTATGTCTGTAGCCTCCTGCTTAAACTGTGCTTATCTAAGGAGACAGATTTCTTGGAAAGCTGGGTGCAGATTTATAAATCAGTGTTATTTGGCTTTGCCATTGTGGCATCCTCATGGCAGAAAAGTATGTTCATTTCCTGAGCAAGCCAACACTGACGTATGATTTGAGTTTCATATTGTTACTATTTGTGTGTGTGTGTTAGCCTCGTCTCTTAAATTGATTTTAAATTATTTTTTCAGTCTTCACAATTAATGATGTTAAGAAAAAAATCCTCAAAGAAAAAGCAAAGAACTGCTTATATTGTCATTATGAAATGAAAGCCACAATCAAATAAAAATGTCACCCCTCACTGCATTTGAATCACCAGCAGCACTAAATTTAAGAAAGGTGTAATCTGATTTGATTAAAAAAGAAAAAAGAACTGCAAAAAGAACTGCACAAAAACCCCAAAACTATCAAATGATGTAGTAAGTAATCTAAAACAAATGTGAATCTGCTTCAGTTTTGTTACTTAAGTGTGATAGACAATTATTTGGTTTGGGAAGATGCAAGACTCATCAGTTCTTATGAGACAACCCACAGGAACTTTAAATACCTTTTTAGCTGTCTGGTCTTGCTATTAATTAGGGAAATAAATAAGAAAAAATCATACAGAAAAAAAATCTATTTGTCAGCTGATTAAACATAAAACTTGTCTTCTAAAAACCTTTGCCAGACTCCCTAATACAGAAAGGGAGCTTTGCATTTAAACATTCTTTTTTTTGCTGTAGTGTGATACGAAGCTACTGGCAGAGAGAGTGATTATAGGTACTGTGCAGGACAGGCTAACTCACATCAATATATCTAATAAGTGCACATCAATTAAACCACTTCCATTTGAATTTATAAGGATACTGACAATTGCCCCAATAATCAGCAGAATGCGTGAGGTATTGGATATGGTCACACTTGTCAGGGTTTCCTGAGGACACCAAGCACAGTGAGACTGTCTTTAGCTGCAGTTGGCCAACGCATTTTGAACTTCCCCCCACCCCCTGCCAGAATCGTTAGGAATGGTGATTAATAAACTAACATCAGTGATATGCATATAGGTAAATCCTGAAATTACTGCAGCTGACTTAAGCTTTTGCTCCTTTTCCTGGTTTGTTAATAAGCGAGTAATTCCATTAAACATATTTAATTGAGTTCTAATTCTGTTTTTGTTAACTACTTAAACTGACTTCCAAATGCTGCTGCCTTCCTATTGATACTCGTCAGTGTTTCCAAGAGAGGCTCTAAGAAAGGAACAGATAAATGGTAATATGTTCATGAGAAAAACTTTTTTTGAAATACAGTGCATTCCACTTAGATCTTTTGACTTCTCTTGCCCTCAGTATAGCAAACTTGTGGACAGAAGAATGAAGCTGGGACAGAGATTTGTGGGAGAGTGGGATCAGTCCTGGTAGCTTAACCATTTCCAGCACAGACTGCTCTTTTTTTTATGTTTGGTTTTTTTTTTTGCTGTTTGGAGATGCAAAGAGAATTGCTAGTTTGGAGATGCAAACCGAACCAGTAGAAATTGAGCAACTTGATAAAACAGATATAGAGCTGTCATTAAAGTCATAACAGCTTAGATTATTTGTTGTAACAGAATCTGTTTATATTATTTACTTTTGTCTTCAGGGTTGCAAATGCAGTTATTCCTCCAGCTTGCATTATAGTCATTGTATTGCGGTGTAAGAGGCAACCTGTTGGCTCAAAGTGCTCAAGCAGAATGTAAGCCAGTGAAAGAAAGATGCTTAAAAGATATAATCTAAAATAATTCCCAGTATTAAGACCAAAAATTTATTTTTTTTAGAGCACTCTGGAACAACCTCCCTTAGTAAACACTAAGTATTTTTGTTTTAGTTTTTGGTTATACTGGGTAGTGCTAAAAAATAATCCAAATGGACAAGGATTCTGATGGTAAGGTCCCTAGAGAGAGTGGGTCTGCAGGCAGTGTCTGTTACTGAAGCATTATAACTTTATTTATAGCGATTTGAACAATTGCACTGTCCTGTTTTTTTGTGTCCAGAACATCAACCAGTGATATAAGAAGAATGACTGACTCTCCAGACAGCTTCCTATGGACAGAGCTGAAAGAACGGGACCACCAAGAGCAACATCTCTGAAAATTTCTCATATTAGGAAAATTAAGGGCAAAAGGAAGACTTGCAAAATGGACTCAACAGCAGAAGGGGTATCACAGGATCCCATGGGGACAGGCTTTGACGCCCTGCAACAGGAGCTGACCTCACCCATTATTCTATCTTTTCTTGTTTGGTCTCCCCCATGCCAAAATTTAGGTAGGTTTCATACTTGCATCGTTGGACTGTGAGTGAATACACTACTACTGAATTAATGGCCTTGTGTTAAGCTTCAGAGCTTTGTGACCAGTCAACAGACATTTTCCTCAAGTAATTTTGGTTCTAAAGATGGAACATGTAGCTAAGAGCTAAAATACACAGTGCGTATAATATACTAAGTAATGCATAGAACGTGGAGTGCCCTGGTGCATACGTTGCAGTTCCATCTCCCTGCAGGAAGAAAATATCCTTTTCGTAGTTATGGGAAATAAACATTATCCAATAACATTTGCCTGGCAGAACAGGAAAGAGTTTCAATGACAGAAATAATGCAGACATTGTTTTTTAAAACTTATCTTTTTGACTGGGGAGAATTTTCACTTCTGTGTCTGTATAGGAGAAATAAAAGAGCTTGAAAAGAAAAATTCATGGACTTAAGCAATGTACTTACCCCTGTTAAGGTGTAAGAGGCACTTGTTGAAGTAATTTGGTTGGCAGTTGTACACAGGATAATAATAGCAGTACTCATCCTAGTAAAAAATATAAGGAAAAAAAAAAGGCAAACAAAGCATTTTTAGTGACTGATAACTCAACTAATAAAGCAAATAACAAGTAACAGCTTTAATTTCCAAAGCAAAACTTTCAGACTTCATATATGTAAAGACTGTCCACTGAATATTTAATGATATAGTCAATATATTTTTGTATTATTGAAATGGAGTCTCAGTTACACAAAGCCATACTGGTTGAAATGAAGAAATTACTCATTTTAGATGTATGCTTGCAAGTCATCTAAATAAACACTGTTTTTTCTCAGGTATTCGTCATATATTTGTAGGCACATCAAAAACACACTTTGGGTGTATATTAAATGATTTTTTTTACCTCTAACTTACCTGAGTATCATTGAAGATTTGCATTAAAAGACTGGATCAAGGGGAAAAACACAAGGCCATGCTTTTCCAGAATTGAATTTATTTAATTTTCCAAATTTTAGTTTATGCCTAGGAGCTTTTTGATAAGCAGCATATTGGCATACCTGTGGTTTTTAGATTCTCACAAAGGCTTTTTTCTTCTGCTGCTTTTTCTGTGTCTCTGTGTCTCCTTCCAACACCTGAACGTGATGAGCAGAGCTACCTGGACCAGTACAGACAGCATTGGGTGGGCAGGATCTGAGGTCACTACAAAGCAGAAGCCAGACTTGGGATCCAGTTAATAAATCATGCCTTAGAAAGAGCAACTTCTCTTTTCTCTGCCCTCCTCTCCCTGTCCCTAGCTATCAGGTTTTCTTTCTTTTACACTCAGCACCTCACCAAGTGTAGTGAGAGCTAATGGAAGATGCAGAGCCTTGAACTTGTAGAGAAGCTAAACTGCTTGCAATTGGTGCGATAGACCAGCACAGACCATTTCAACTTGAAGCACTGGCTGAGGGACAATGAAAAAAACCTAAAAATTAGTAAGTAGAACTTTATGGTTTTCAGCACACAGAGCTAGGTATATATCTATTTACTACCCTCACATTGCAATTCCAGCCTTCAATGAAGGAGCATGGAACAGAAAGTGGTAAGAAATTAATTTCCTTCTCGTGCCATAATCCTACCAACCAAGAAAACCAAAAGATGTAGGAAGAGAAGCAGCAAAATACCAACTTGATGCACTCTGGTTGAGGTACTCCCAGATGGTACTGTTAGTAATCTATCAGTTTATAACATTTATCTGAACTTGCAGTTTGGAGCATCATTTCTGGGTACTTTTGTAAGTGAAAGCCAGCAATAGTTCTCTGGCTGCTGTAATACCCTGGTCATGTGAAAAGACAAAGCAGCAGTTACAACATTGTACGAGACTGTAAAATACACATTTCAGTGTGTCCATGGAGCACAACAGGATTGTCAGAGTGCCAGTGAATAAAAATGCCCCCTCCCCACCCAATTTATTTTCTTTCACAATTTATTTTCTTACAATTTATTTTCTTACACAAATCTTTCTCTAGGGGACATCAGTAGGAACATTTATTTTTGTCTTCAGAAGGTCAAACTGATAATCTTTTCCAATGTATGTAGTATCCTACACAATCCCTTTCTTTCTGATATGACCACATTTGGATAAAATCACACTGAAAAGCTGCTTGTGGCAATGAATCTGAAATACGTAAGCAGAATTTGGGAACCTCTTCTCTCCTAAGCCTAGATTTCAGTAGGCCATTAAGATACCATGCAAAGCATGTATAAAAGCACCAAAGATACCATGTCCTGTAAATCAGTGTGCCTTTCCCAAGAATGTCCATTTCCCTAATTTCAGGAATTTGCATATGGAATTTTCCAGTTACCCCTCCTCAAGGAGTCAGGACATGGCAGACTGAAAATGTCCTTTTGCTTGTTTTTGGAGGAATGGGGTTTTTTTGCATCCTGCATACGAAGGTAGAATGTCAGATCTTCCCTCTTTGGTCTTTTGGTGGGGTGCTTCTTCCACCAGGACCTTGCTGGCTCATCTGTCTCAGTGATCATCATTCTGCACTGGGTTGTATTTATCACATATTTCTCAACCTTCCAAAATGTCACAAAACTATTAGTGACCATTAACTTCAAAACAAGAATTGACTGAAGACAGCATAACAAATGGACAAGAGAAGGCTTTGTCACTATTTCGAGAAACGAGGTCTTTTATCTTGGTGACCGCTGTCCACCTATCAGTTCACTGCTAGATGTATAAGCTAGCTGTAAAATCTAATGGCACAAAGTAGTCATGGCATAAGTTTAAAAATTAAATACACATTCAACAGAACATCATCAAAGATTATAAGCAAATATCAGGTAGTAAAGCTTATTGAAAAACTTACCTCTATTCATCTTTTGCATACAACCAAAAGTGGGATGGTCGTATGGTGTGTGGGAAAGCAAGCCTTTTGTGCCAGGAAGATCAATAGTTTTTCATTGTGCTGATCCTAATAACTTCTGTTTCACTCTTCATGCTTTCTTAGATCTTTGTTTCTAAACTTTTTAGTAATAGACAGCTGCTAGGCAAGATAGAAGATCTGTCCCCTTTCCTTCTTCATAAGAAGCTGATCACAAACTATGGAGGAAATGGAAGTAAATGCTGAATTTATCATTGGCCAAAACAAAACCAAAAGCAATTGCTTCTTACCTTCAGTGTTTGTAAAGCCTGACCGTGGCTTAATTGCTCCCTTGGTGAGATAAGTGGAAATGGAATATTGAAACTTAACATTCATATAAGACTATAAAAAGAAACAAAAACAAAACCAAATGTGGGATAATGACAGGAACACATATTGCAATATACTTCCTCTGTAGGCTTTCAAGTCAAGCTTAACCTGTTTGTAATGACCTACAGCTCAGAAACCATCAGAAAAGGAACTAAGTTCACCTCAGCTTTTAGTGACCAACAACATTTATTTTTGACCAACTCGTTGCAGTACGTCAAGGTAGAAACAAGTACCAATGTCTCCTGTAGAAAATTAGTGCAACAAAACTCAGTGCAAGATCTGGGGAAAAAATCTATTTAACAAATCTCTTAAACTGGTTTTACAGACTCACATTAATGCCATAAAGGAATGTGTGATATGCTGGCTTTTTGCCATCCTCCTCTTGTAGAACTAAGAGCCCTCTATTGAGGTCTTGTCAGCATGCTGACCACCTGAAAGTCCAGCAAAGGGCCTCAACAATTATTAAGGGACTGGAGCATCTGAAATGCAAGGGGAGGGTGATAGCTGGGACTGTTCAGCCTGGAACAGAGAAGGCTCGGCGGGTGGGAACTTATCAGTGTGTATAAATACCGGACACATACAGGGTGGAAGGAAGATGGAGCCAAGATCTCCTGGGTATCCAGTGACAGGACAAGAGGCAATGGGCACAAAATGAGAAAAGGAAATTCTGTTGAAAATATGAGAAAAAACCTTTTTGTAAAAAAAAGAGTGATCAAACTCTGCAACAAGCTGCTGAGAGAAACTTGAGTTCTCCATCCTTGGAAATACTCAAAACTGAACCAGACCCAGCCCTGGTCAGCCTGCTCTGGCTGACTCTGCTCCATGCAGGGGTGTTGGACTACACAATCTCCAGAGATGCCTTCCAGCCTCAACTATTCCATGATTCTATGAGCTTTAAAAATTGCTATACAGCATATTATTTATGTTATCAGCCTGAACAGTGTAAGGTTGCCAAGTTTAAATGCCACGAAAAATGAGGTAAAGGCTGTGTAACTATCAGGAGCACAAATTCCAAGTTTATTAGGGACCCACAGTGAGACAATCCTCCTACTAAACCTCTACGGCAGCAGTCTGTTAATTTTGCAGTTCTAAGTTTCTCTCACCAAACCTAAATAACTGAGAAAGCAGTGAATTAATTCTGCAAATACTTTAAAAAAATAAATAAATAAATGAAGCAAATAAGTCCCCATACAACTCTGTCAAATGAGTATCCACTACAGACCTGCAAGGGTTTTCTTATAGTTATGAATACAAGCAAACAGAAATAATCTGAAAGGGAGTCTAGACACCAAAAATCTAAATGCTTTCCCAGAAAGTACTCACTTAGCATGCATATACAGAAAGGTGTAGAAAATGTTCAAGATGTATAGTTTAGAGATCTCATGAATATACAAAACCATTTTGCCAGCTACAAAAGTTTAGCAAAATTTGAATATCGCCTGATTCCATATTCTCAGTATTCTGATATTCAAATATGCACAACAATTTTACCCATGTTTTCAAAATTTCATAATTCAACTGTGCAAGTATATATTAAGACTCACTGATTTTCCTGACATGTAGCACATTTGAAATGGGATTAAACGAGCGCCGTGCTTAACAGGGGCTGATTTCAAAATATCCAGGAGGTCCATTTTCCTTAAAATTCAACTTTAGCAAGTCCACTTACAAGATTATTAATGCCAGGTCACAGCAAAGTGAGGGTGTTATGCAAGGTTACAGCCAAAAATACTCAAGTCATACACACCTTTAGTAAACATAAGCATGCTAAATTATATCAAGTCATTAAATGCATAAATGATTTTAATAAACGAGTATGTTTTTTAGCTGTGAGATATCTTTTCCTGGTGCGTTTGAAGGTTTGCTAGAAGGATCTTTTTCTGGATTGCATAAAGCATCTGCAGTAGAAGATGTGGTGATTGTGACTGGTT